GCACGGACTGCGAGACGAGGATGCTCACAGCACATGAGCGGTTCTGCACTGATAGTCATATTCACCGCTCGCAATCCTTTTTGCTTTCATTAAAAGGAGTTGATGGGAGAGAGAGCGAGATAGGAGCGCTGCTGTACAAGGCACTGGGGAGACCTCATCTAGGAAGCTGGGTACGAATTCCGGTCACGACAGAGGAATTGAGGCTGGAGCAGGTGCGGAGAAGGGCTACTGGGATGTTTAGGGCAATGGAGAGTCTATCATACAAGAAGAAACTAGAAGAGTTTGGCTTGTTGAGCCCAGCAAAATGAAGGCTGAGAGGGAATATGATTGCTCTCAGTGAACACGCTGGAAGATAAGCACCCGGGAGAGAGAAGAGCTATTTAAGCTAAAGGATGGTGTTGGCATGAGAGGGAATGGATATAAACCAGCCATGAATAAATCTAGACTTAAAATTAGAAGGGGAAAAAAAAAAGTTTCTGATCTGCAGAGCAGAAAGACTTTGAGCAGCGTGCCATACCAAGCACGGGGAGGGCGAGCAGCAGCGCGGGGACCCTACCAGCCCTGCAGCACCCCAGCAGGGGAAGGGCCCAAAATTACCACCTGAGTGATGAATTATCAGCCCAGGAGGTGCAGAAAGGTGTGAGGGCCTTTGCACAGACATGTGAAGATCCCTCTGGGGGAAAGCCAAAGGGGACAAAGAGCCCTGTCCATACCCGGGCTGGGCCTCCCGCTGCTCCCAGTTAGTGGTCACCGCTCTCAGGTCCTTGCTTTCAAAGCCAGGGAAGGCTGAAGAGCACGAGCAGACAGGATGATGACACGGAGCTGTGTCCACAATGTATTTTGAGAAATGCAGTGCAAAACCATGCTCGTTGTTTGTTTTTCTCCCAAATTTGGCAAGAACATGAGCCAGCAGTGTGCCCAGGTGGCCACAAAGGCAAATGGCATCCTGGCCTGCATCAGAAATGGTGTTACCAGGAATGGTCCCAGCAGGACTGGGGAAGTGACTGTCCCTCTGTACTTGGCTCTGGTGAGACTTCACCGCAGGTACTGTGTTCAGTTTGGGGCCCCTCGTGTCAAGAAAGATACTGAGTTGATGGAAATCAAGAGAAGAAGCAACAAAGCTGGTGAAGGGAGTAGAAAACGAGTTATGAGGAGCAGCTGAGGGAACTGGGGTTATTTAGTCTGGAGAAAAGGAGCCTGAGGGGAGGCTGCTTCTCCAGCCACTTGGAAGGAGCTTGCAGTGAGGAGAGCGTCCAGCTCTTTTCTCAGGTAACCAGGGATAGGACACAAGTAAATGGCCTCAGGTTGCACCAGGGAAGGTTTAGATTGGATTTCATGAATAATTTCGTCCTGGAAGGGGTGGCTAGGCATTGGAACAGGCTGCCCATGGAAGTGGTGGAGTTCCCATACCAGGAGGTATTTAAGAGATGTGTGAATGCGGTGCTTATGAGCCATGCTTTAGTGATGGGGCTTGGTAGTGTTAGGTTTATGTTTGGACTTGATGATATTAAGTGGTTCTTTCCAACCTCAGTGCTTCTGTGATTCCAAGAGACGTGGTTTGGTGGTGAAGCAGCACAATGTGTTTCCTTTAAACCTAGCAGCTTGCGTCTTCTTACCAGCAGGTTTCTAGCAGAGGATCAGGGGGCTGGGTCTGCTCTCAAAGAACTTATTTATTTGGAGCTATAGCAGCAATAAGCCAAAACAATTATCCCGGGTTCAAGGGGACCCAATCCATCACCGGTAATGCTGTAAAATCCCTGCTGTGTTAAAGTAATCATTTAAACAGCAGCCTCACCAGTTCCTACAGGGATTCCTTCCTGCCCGTGGGCTCTCAGTGCCCCCCACCCCTCCCAAACACTGGCTTTAACTTAACCCTGAAAGACCCCTCTGAAGGCAATAAAGGACACAAGGCATCCTGTGCGTGGCCAAGCACATGATGAAGGGGGCTGGTGAGCATTAATTCCTCTCCTAACAGTGCTGCGCTGTGGTGCTGGTCCTGGCCGTGCGAGTATCTGCAGTCAGCAACAGGGAAGCAACTTCTCTGGAAAAAATGAGCTGGGTAGGATTTTCTTTCTGTCATGTGTTCAGCTTTTCCTATATCTCTCCTCACTCATATTAGAGGTAATGGTGGTTCTGACTGAAGATCCCAAAGAGTTTTCCTGCGGTGTCATCTCCTTCCCCTTCCTCCTGTGAGATGGCCCAGGACCGTTTTCTGCATTTGCACGTGAGGAGGTGGAGGATGTCAAGGTGCCTTTCTCCAGTTCCAGTTTCTGATGGTCTCCTGGCTGGTTCTTATGATTGTTAGTCACTGGGTGAGGACAGGAAACACATCGGTAGCAGCTAGAAATAGTGCAGTAACTAAAAAATCTTAAAGGAACCAAACTCATGAGAAAGAAAGGGAGACTAAAGAGGCACGGCAACAAGGTTTTTTGTTCTTTCTTTGTGTGTAGTTTGAATTGGTGCTGAGATCAATAGCTCTCCAGTTCCTGCAGTGATGATCCGAGGCATGGCCATCACCACTAGCCGCTCCTCTCGGTCGCTGCATCAGCAGGTATCAGGAAATTAAACCTGAAGCCACGAGGAACAAACAAAATGGATGGATCGCAAATAGTTTATTAGCACTCACTGACACTGATGGTAATGCTTTCAATAAGCCTAATGAAAAGCGTTTGACTATCTCTGTGAACTCGATTATTGATTATTAGTGAACGGGAAGAGCCATTTGATATCTCGCGGAAGCCTCGCTCCTGCTGCCTCGCGGTTAAAACGTCAGTTAACGTGCCATTTAATATTCTATTAGTATTGAATTAGTACTTATTACACTGTGAAAATCATCACCATAAATCCTTATTAAAGCATGATCCATAAGGCTGGGTGGCAACTCTGGTGGAGTAGGAGGGTGCGTGCGTGCAGGCAGACGCCCTGGGATACCTCATCCATGTGGACGCCTGTTCGGAGCACACCAGGGGATTTCCAGACCTGTACATTGATTTTTTTTCTGTAATAATTTCAGAGGAATGGGTGTGCCCAAGTGAGCAGCTCAGATCCATTTCACTCACTCCTCCAATTCTCCTTGCTTCTCCCTCACTTTTATTTCAGTGCTGCCTGCCATCATCAGGGGCACTTGTGAGGCTGAGTGTAGGGATTAACCACTGGCTTAGGGCTGACCCCATGGCAAAAGCAGCACAGGACAGGTTGTGGCACACTCTTTCTCTTCTCAGGGACAGTATTTCTTGAGGTAATCCATCTCCTCTTCCTCTCAGCCCCAGGGTCATGGCAGGCAGAAGCCCAGCAAGATGCCCTGTTCACGGGGAATGGGTGGTAGGGTTTATTTTCCTGTGCTGTTTGGTCTCTCACCAAGGTCCTGTAGGGAAAGTGACCTCAGGGAGTGGAAACGGTGGATGGTGCATACATGGTGACAAGGACAAGAAGTTGCCTGAGGCCAGCAGGGAGCACGTCTGTGTTGGTGCACAGGCATTCACAAGTGACGAAGAAACTTCAACGCCCACAGCCTTCAGCTGCGGCTGTTAATCTGCTTAGCTCCTCACCGCCATCCCCTCCGGGGATTTTCACAAATCCAAAATGTGCAGAGAGGGGCTGTGAATGCCTTTTGAAAAAGATCTAACCCTCCGATTCTCCGTGCTGCTGCAGACCTACGCAGGCACACGTGTGTGGGAAGGCTGCCCGGCCTGGGAGTCCCTGCGGGGCCACCTCATCCGATGGGCATCATCCCCTCCTCAGGTCCCCAATTCCAGCTCCTGCCACGTGTGGTGGCAGCCCAGGATGGCCTGGTGAGCTGGCACTGCAGTGCTGGTTGTTAAATACAGATGGCTGCTTGCTGATCCCCCTACCCCTGTCTTTCATATGAGAACCTGATTGCTGGCTGGGGCTTGGGCTGCTCCCTAAAGCAAATGTTTGTCCGCTCAGACGGAGCTGCTCCCAGCCTGGCCAGCAGCTTGGTGAGCTTCTCGTCTCCTCCCACGCAGCCTGGCTTCCCTCCAGCCCACGAGTAACCCTGGAGCAAGTCGGAGAGCACCCCTGGGCATGCCTTTGGGGGAAAGGGTGGGAGGTGTCGGCCGTGCTGGTGGGGTCACATTGCCCGGGGCAGCAGCTGTGGCACGGCGTGAATGAAACGCATTCAGGCAGAGGAACTTGGAAAATGTCTGCCCTGTGCTAAGAGGCTGTGTAAAAGCCTACTGTCAAATATTTGTCTTATCTCCACGCGATAATCTTTATCCTCTCTCTGTTCTCTCTCGAATGCAACGCGTGCCTGGATTGTGCTGGGGAGAGGCGCTGGGTTATTTGGATGCCAGCGGGCTGTGGGCAGGACTCAAGAGGTGAAGGAGGGACAGCTCTGGAGGCTGAACTTCCCTCTTTTATCTGCAGCACAAACACGGCATGGGCTGCTGCAGGAAAAACCCTGTCAGCCTGCCTGAGCCTGGCCCTGGTGGGAGCTGCCAGGAGGAGTTGTGTCCCCATGTCTTCTTCAGCCAAGAGCGAGCAGAACGTGCCTCCTCTCCAGCATGGCATCTCTTCTGTGCAAACCTTCTGGGCCTTCTGCACCTTCTGGAGCTTGAAAGCGGTGCCTTGGCCAAAAACGTGTTTGTCTTCACAGCACCTTCACCCCTCCCTGTCAAGGAAAAGTGTGGGAAGGACTCCTTCTGGCCTTTCCCATTGCCAGGGTTAGAAGGGATTTGGTGACCAGGATCTCTTGTGGCCTTCCAAAGTCATTTTCAATGCAGGTATAGACCACAAACAAAAGGAAGTGAGAGCAGGAATCATGATCACCCTAAATCACAGATATTCGTGAAGCCCGTCAGAAAATCCTTCTGAAATACATGGCCATTGGGTTGTGGTGATGAGGAGCTGCTGTGGTTTGCTGTCAAAGTGGGAGTATGCTGCAGGGTTTCTGAGCAACGTGGTGAAGGGAAGGGTCAAAAAGGAGATGATGAAGAGGTTTGCTAATCTCCCTGTTAATCTCCCTTTCTTATCCTCTGCAGGTGTTATGTAGAAGACAGAAGCTCCAAGGTGGCCTGGTTAAACCGTTCCGGCATCATTTTTGCTGGAGAGGACAAGTGGTCCCTGGACCCTCGAGTAGAGCTGGAGAAGAGAAGCCCCCTGGAGTACAGCCTGCGGATCCAGAAAGTGGATGTCTACGATGAGGGGTCCTACACGTGTTCAGTGCAGACACAGCATCACCCCAAGACTTCCCAGGTTTACTTGATCGTGCAAGGTAAGCAACGTGCTTCAGAAAAACACAGTGGGTGGAAGGATCTGTGTCTTTCTTAGAGAAACCAAGGAGTCGGTAGCCTGTGGGCCTTGCAGTGTCAGCCAGGAGGGAGCAATCCCTTCAGGTTACAATGGGACTGTCCCCTTCCGCTGCGGCATGGCAAGGCTTTACTCTGCTGTTAGCCTGTCCTTCCCAAGGCAGTGACAGAGCAGGGAATGCCGGTGATGCCAAGGCACGTTCTAGCATAATGCAAACCTAGCTGCTGGCTCTGGTTGTTCTGGTGCTGAGGGGAAGGCATTTGTTTGTGATGACACTTGTCAGAACGATGTGCTCGCCTCCTGTCTTCCCGGATAGCCCTCTGGTTTCTTCGCCCCCTCCTTCCACAGATTTCCTTCTTCTTCTTTCTTTCTTGTTGCCATGAAAAAAAGTGTTGTGCTATTCAGCCTCCCGTTGTCAGCTCTTTGCCAGGCTGGGGAATTCATTTTTCCTGGATGTTTTTCTGTGCTGGGTCATCAGTTTGCAGGGTGCACAGTCTCCAGGCATGTGTGAAACCTGGTACCCGAGGTAGCTGCTGCTTACCTTATGTTGCCCTCTCCATTTTTAGCTACCCTCCTCCTGCGTGTGTTACAGGGAAACTGGGAACTTGGCAATCTGAAGCAACGTTGTCCTATCTGTCTGCCTGCATTCATGCTATAATAGAGAGCAAACACATCTAGGGGCTCACCAATTACTGGTAAGGACATAATGGAGTTTGCCTGTTCAGTTCTGCCCAGACCAGAATACCAAACAAAACACTTCACTCTTTTGTGTGTGTTTTTTCTTCTTTCATGCAATTCTGTCGCTCAGCCTATTTATCTAAAATATTTATAGATTAGCTTAAATAGATAGGAATGTATGGCTGTGTTTAATACATATTACAGATATGTTCAGCTTTCTCATTATCATTCAGACTGGAGCTTGTTGTTTCTTCTGATCTGTCTAGTAACCCAAAATGCTCCGAATTTTATTTCTCATGGCAAACGTTTGAATCACTGAGGATGTAAATGCATGCACAAATGGACTCTCCTCTTGCTGGTATTACTTGAAAGGCTCGGGGCTGACTAGGAGGTTGTGTGTTTATCTGCAAGGCAAAGTTGGGATGCATGGTCAGAGGTGATGCTTTACATGGGAGCACACTGAGAATGAAGGCTGCCCTTTTGCTGAAAATCCTCCTTCAGCAGCGTGAGGAGCAGTGAGCATCAGCACACAGAGTATGTCCCACAGCTTGTTTGAGGGGTTGTGGGAATGGGCATGGCATGAAAAGTACTTGCAGAGCCCTGGGGATGTACCTGGCCTCACAGAAAACTGCAACCGTGCAGGTAGCCTATTGCTGGTGAAGTCTGACTGCACGCAGTTTCTATTTACCTGTCAAGGAAAATGTAGGTGCAAATGAATTTTAGAGCCATGCACATGTATTATTAATTTTATTTGTGCCTATTAGACACAGGCCTAAGCAGCAGAATTGAGTTCTCCAGCCAAGCTTTCACTTAGGTATGCGGGTGTCCAGCTCTGAGCTACTGCCACCTTTCTGAGGATGAGAAAATTCAGGCACTGGCACATATAAACTCTGGATGCCTCTAAACAAGGTGTCAGTGGATTGTGGATACTAAAAGACCCGCTACAATATCATGATTTCTTCTAAAGCCCCAGGTCCCAGAGTGCTGTAATTGGATGAAACTTGAAACTCTAACACAGCTTCGATTTTTCTAAAAGTAAATCTGGTTTGGTTTGGAAAAAAAAATAAAATAAAAAGAAAAAAAGGAAAAAATGAGAACTATGAAATCTTTTACAATTTGGAAGAGTTAGACTCATTTTAATCTGTGCTTTTATTAGTTTAAAACTAATAAATAATTCATTTGAAATAATCTTAACTAATAAAACTAATTTATTAGAAACTAGTATATGTTACAAAATATTCCCTTTCCTCTCCCAGTATAATTTTCTCATATCAATTATTATTATTATTATTCTCAGATTTGCAGGTTGTTTGCCTGAAAAAAAATAGTCTGTCGCTAGTGCAAATGAAAGGAGATTAGATACTGAGTTGTAATAAGCTTTTTTATTTTAATTTAATGTAATTTATTTCCTACTCTTTTTATGTCATAAATTTAAAACCAACAGCTACGTGAAGCTGTGGGCATCCTGAACTCAAATAAATAAAATGAAGCTCTTGAAAGATTAAGGAGCAGGGTGTTCAGCTGTGTCCAGCAAATGGGATAGCTGTATCAGAGACTAAGGGGTAGGTAGATACTGGATCGGTACATTAGAAGTACAGAAGGCCACTGCCATAACCACAGTACCAGGCGAAAGAAATAGGCAATCCTTGGGACACATCACAGCCTGCGTTGAGATCATTGCAGGTTAATGGAATTGCATTTGGGGGGCAGATCCTTTCCTCCCTACAGAAGATGAGCTTTCCCTGAGATGAACTCTGCTGGTCAGAGCTGTAGGAGTGTATCACAGGCTGTCCTCTGATGGGATCCCTCCCAGCTGGGCCATACTGCAGAGGTCTAAAAGATGGGTAATGAAAGGACACAGACAAAAAGATTACATCCTAGTAGCCAGCTAACAGTGGAAAAACTCCTTTTGCAAACTGTTGCCATGAGGTGGGTTATCCCCTACTCTTCATCTGTCTTTCCCCCTTTTCAAATTCAAAGTCTTCTCTGCTGGGAGAAGTAGACATCCACTACAAAAAGGTCGAGTATAACTGTGGCCATCTCTTCTGTCTTTCTGACCCAGGTGCCTCATTTTGGGGTGAGATGACTAGAGACTCTTTCCATTTACTACCCCATGTATTTCTGGTGGTGTCTGATCAGAGGAGTGGAGAACTGGAAGGACCCAAAAGAGGTGGTCTGGTCCTTCTCTGTGCACTGAGAGAAGATCAGCTAGACACCGGCTGCCCCTAACATGTATTTTTTGAAGAGACCCTGCACCTGCATAGCCAGCGTGTGGCCATTCATTCATGCTTTTTGCACTTGGAAAGCTTTTACTATGATCTCATCCAAACTGATTTTGTTACCAAGTATTTCTGGTCCTTCCACAACACGTGGTGGTAATTTATCCTACTTTTTCTCAAAACTACCTCTCACCTGCCCATGAACCCTTGTGTCTTAGACCTCTCCAGCCTAGATTAACAGGCTTACTTCTTGCAGGCTGTATTTTCCAACCTTTGCATTGTATTTCGTTCACTGCTGTCTGTTTTTTTCCATACGTTTCCTTAACTGTCCCAAACCAAAGCAGGAGTTCCAATTCAGAGCCTTTTGTGCAGATAAAAGGCAAATAAGTAGCAGCCATGTTTTGCATATCATGCTTAGCTTACCAGAATAAGATGAGATTCATCTTTTTTTACAATAACAACTCATCTCTTTCTCTTATTTAGTCCATGCTGCTCTTTAGACCTCAGGTACTGGTCTGCAGGCGCTCAGTCCCCACTTGTGCCATTGAACACTAATTGTCATTTCCACCCTTCCCAAGCACAGTGCTTTGTGCTCACTGCTGTGGGATTCCTTCTAGTTGGTTTCTCCATGGAGACCACCACTTCGGGTTTCTTAATCCTCCTTGTCTCCAAGGCGCTTGCTGCTGCCTCCGACTTGGTGCCACCGACACAAGTCAGGTGCCTTCTTCCTGTTCCATCACAGAGGTGTTAATTGAAGTATCAAAGAGATCAGGGCACAGAAGCGGGCTGTGGTAACAGCCCACTAAAACCTCCATCCCGACAGGTAGGAATCTGTTGATTGCGGCTCTTTCAAGCGTCCTGATGGTGATTTAACATCCACCATCTTTTCTTAGCTTGCTTAGGAGGCTGTCAGGCCTGCTGAAGTCAAGATATATCACATACTGCTCCCTCTTTATCCACTATACCACGTATCCTATAAAGGAAAAAAAAGGGAATGATACTGGGGTGATGGGAGAGATGCTTGCCAAAAGTACATTGGTTATTTTTTCCTTTGCTGTATTATTATCCTCTAGGTGTTTATAAATGGGATGTTTAATCGTTCCTTCCAGTATGCTCGGTAACTTGTTCCAGGAGGGTGAGTCGTAAAGGGGACCTGGTGGCTGCCCCTTTCCCAGCGTTATCTTGGGCCCTTGTTCTTTTAGGGCTTCAGCCTCAGGCCCTTCTCAGGCGTAAATGTCAGGGGAGAAATCCCTGCAGTTCTTACTGATCAGGGTCATAGGCAAAAGGCGCGGAGATACTAGCAGGCATGGGGTTTGAAAGTTTTGGCAATGAAGGCTTAGTCCTGTCCAACTCGAGCTGAAGGAATAACTCTCTCAGCTAGGAGCAAGCAGATGGTTGCTGTTTTTGCTGTCAGGAGCCTTTACAACAAGGCATCGCTGTGAACGGAGGCGGCTGGGAGCTGTTCAGCGAAACAAAAACATTTCGCTTGCTTTGGCTTTGATGAAAGTTTAATCGGGAGGGTTTTACAGGTCTGAGGTGCTTTTTCTGGTCAAAACTGTGAAGAGAAACAGCTAAGAAGCATTACCATAGCCCATCTGAAAGCTAACGGTTGCAGCTGGAGGTAAGGAGAACTCGCACGCACCCTTTAGCTCAGACTCTGGGACTCCTGCAGCCTTGCTAACATTGCTCATGATTTCCAGTTACTGAATGTTCAAAGGATGTGGGATCTCCCTTGTTTTAATGTTTATTTCATGAAAAAAAAATAATAATCAAAAGAGCTTTGTCATTTTGGCAGAGCAAAACTGAATTTGGAAACATCAGCAGCAAATTTTCACAAAGGGGAATTCTTGTTTACTGCTTGGCCCTAATCAGAAACTCTGAGTCAATGTATAGCAGCTAAAGGCCAAATCCCCCAGTTTTCTTTCAAGCTGATAGGCATTAGTGTGTGAAAAGAACCACGGGGCATAGCCTGCTCCATTATGCATTGCCTTTGTAGAGCTCCTCGCTTACAAAGACGCGGACTGACCGTTCATTCTTTCCAAGTGGTATAAAGATGTATTTGTTGTTG